ACTTATCACTCACCGTTTGATTCCTCGTTTCTTTTACTTCCAAATGGTGTAGCAGGACTGGCGGCGGTACCGCCTGATGAAGCTCCTTGCTTATCTTGTGGGTATAATGTTTATCACAGGTGAACACTATGATTGTATCACTCAATTCACTGTAATAGGGGGTGAAGTTATAAGTAAATTTTAATTGAATTATTTTCGAGATTATTCTGGAGCAGGTCACACTCGGTTTTTCCCGAGTACCGAGATGATCGAGACCACACACTTTTCGTGACTCTCTCGTCACATGACCACGTCAGGAGCGACAGTACACTATCCTGTGATTGGTCACGCGCAATATTGGAGGTAATTTTCAATATTAAGTGAACTCTCTGGCAGGATTTACTCGACAGGAATTCATATATAGATCGGGACGAAACACAATGATTGCCAAAAAAATAGTATAAATACTATAAATCTAGCCTTCCTGATACGACATGTGAATGAAGCTCAGGATTTTTCAGAATTCAACCAAGAAATGTAACTGGAAGAAAATCACTTTGATAGTTGGGAGGAGTCAGACAGGAGAGCTTCCTTCTAAGAGTCAAGTAGGTACTGGTACTGGTACTGGTGGGGGACGTTTCCACGTCAGCAACTAGTCCCCAATGGGACCTTTTTGCAAACCCCAAGCGTTTTCAATGACTGATGTGGTTCGCTCAAGAGAGCTGGCTAACATCCTTTTCAGGCACCGCCCATCAGCTCTCTTTTCAGAGTTTTTCAGCTGTGTTTTGTAGGCTAGTAATGTACTCACTACCATATGCGCAGTGGCAGGCCTGCTAACTATCCTCGTTAACCCCCGAGATCGAGGTCTACTTAAGCAGCTGGCCCGCTCTCACGCTCAGCTGGTAGTTTTCCACACCCACCTACATACACCGTCCTACTTCTTCTCTGATGCTCACAACCACATCATCATATCTTTCCGCGTGTTCTGTGTAGGCTTTGTTAATAACTCCATGCGCCACTTTAGGAGCAGCACTGTTAATTGGAACGCAACAGCGAATCGTGCAGCGAGTCAAGTAGGACAAAGTTCTGGTTGAGGAAGGTTAAGCAATAAACAACGAGAAAAACATGTCCTTTACCGTCTTAAGGTGTCAATAGCTGGTGCAATTACCTTATACAGGGTGGCAATGAAATAAGTGCAAATATTTAACACAGCAATATGCTTTAGTCTAACAAAAATTCCCAAAATATCAGATTTTTCTCCCATGAAAATTTGATGATATTGACATCAGAATTGTAACAGCGTTGCCAGATTTAATACCTAAAGTAATAGTCGAAAATAACTAATAGGAGATACCTACATAATGCTCATTGAAATGAGAGTTACGGCAAAAGACAGTTCTATCTTTTCCTCTTGATGTACTCACAGTAACCCATTTCAAGATATTTTGCTAGCACTGAACTGGGTTTCGAAAAATAAACAGCTTTCATCTTTTTATCTGCGATTTAACATCCAAAAATTCAAATTTACTCACCTATCGGACGAGTTCGAATGCTTGGCTATGATAATATTCAGGTATTTACCGGCTCTGACTGACATTTTTTGAGAATTGTTTACATGTCTTCACAGCCTCCATCATTTCTGATGATGAAATATCAATAATATTCTCATGAATGTAGGTATTTTTCACGGTTCTTTTTTCAATTTTTCATTAATTTTACTGAGAATAACAGACTATAAAATAAACAAGGATTGACAGACTTGACATATGGCATTTGGTTTGTTTTTGTTCCTGACCGAGAATATGTGGTACTAGATGACATTTCGAAAAAGTACTAGAATTGGGAATTTAATACTGAATTTCAGCTTCCTTAAAATTTGACGCCCCCGAAGTATTTGCATAGTTTTTATCCACAAATTCAAGCCGCCTGAAAGACCAATATGGGTGAAATGATTTCACCATATGAATATATTGAAATGAACAAATAATGAAATTGAATTGATCAAAGTAATTTAAATATTTCCAAAATGGAAGAAATGTACCAAACTCATGCGAAGAAAAAACTGGAACATCTCATTTCCATCTACTTGGTGAACAAATGTAAACCCAATGATCTCATCTCATTTAGTACTAGATTTCATCAAAAAGTACTTTGCTACTGAACATCGAATAGATTCAAACCTAGTACTAAAGTACTGACTGAAACAGCCCTGTGCTAAAGGAACAGAAGATTTCTAAACGTCCAGTAGTAGCAGTCGATAGTAATATTCCTTCAATCTAAACTAACTAAAATATTTCACTAGAACTGAACTGAATCGTTCTTTCGAATGACGTTCATTACATACAATGCATGTCAACTGATTCTGTTCAGTTCAAGTGAAATATGTCAGTTAGTTCAGAATGAAAGAATATCATTACTGTATGCACCATGGAAATTCGTTACTCCGTTTTGTTTAGTGCGCAACCATAATTTCATGCCATGCGCACCAGGCCAATATTTCAACACTTGGTCACAAAATATCCAACAATCAGACATGAACCTTTATACTTCGGTACCTTGGTTATTAATTATTAGAATATGTCTTTTGGGACTATCGTGAGTCTCGGATTATTTAGTTTAGATGATGAAATAAAAATAACAAATAGCTAAACTAATATAAGGAGCACTTCGAAGACGCAAATTCATAACTGCAGTCAGTGACTTGATCACGAATGACATTGACGTTTTATTCCTCGACGTATCCAAAATTAAGATGCCATGAGTCGAATCGATATTCAATCATTTGATCTATTATAATTTATTCATTTGATTGATTGATTGTCTTTATTACCCCAAGAAACATAGTTGTTAATAGGGATACATAAACAATATACATAATGTTATACATACAATTATGAAATTATAATAAGATATAACACAAGTAAAAAAAAATGCAAATAATCATGCAATATCAACCTAGTCTTAGGTATTCAAATAAGAAATTTTATTTTATTTTATTTTGTAGAATTAGGCGATTCAACAGATAGACGCAGCTATCCACTAATAGAATCGCACAGGTTACAAATTTTGATCAGTATTAACTTAAACCAAGACAATGCTATAAAAGCCGTTCTAAAATCAAAATGTAAATAGCCCTAAAGGAAATGATATAAATATTTTCAGATCTAGGATAAGAAGTACTTATTTCGATATACTAGACAAAATATAGAGAATAATTGGAAAATAACAGAAAAAAAAAGTTGTATCTCTAAATTATTCTAATAAAATAATCGGCATATTTTATGAACTATTATCAGGAAGTATCATAAACAACCTAGTCAGTGCAATTCATACATATATTGCATATTCAAAAATGGATGAGAAAAAAAGAAACGAAATCATTACTATCGGTTATACAACGCGGTCTTCAACTTTCTCTTGAAAATGTTTATCCTGGTCGAAAAAATATCAAATTCTTCGTCATCTAAACCATTACAAAACTTCATGCACCTATATAGTGGAGAATTAGACATGAAATTGGTAGTTGTCCTACCAGGTACGAATAGTAGCCGATGTCGCATAAGATATCGGGTACAATTCAAGAGGAAAAAACTTGTACACTATGGAGAATCAATAATGTCATTGACAATTTTATAGACAAAGCAGATATCAAAGAATTGCCTTCTCAAATTTAAAATTTCAAGCTTGTAAAATATAACATTACATTCATAAGAGAAAAAATGTATTCTTTTGTTGAATCGAAAATTTAAAATATTTATTAATTTATGCTGTACTTTTTCGATTCTATTTATCTTATCCTTATAGAATGGATTCCATTCCAGAAATGGAATTATCAAAGTCTCTGAAGCAGATATTTTTTCAAGTTAATTTTGAATCTAGTTGCTTCCTGTATATTCCAATTGACTTGGTTTTGATACTAATTTCATTCAAAGTCGTCACCGCCAAAAAGATCTTGATGGTTGATGAATTCTCGGAAAATTCAGAGGAAGAAATAGGATTTTGAAATACAATGATACCTAGATACTTCAGAGCATCATCTTCTGGGTTGAATTTTTTCAAAGCATCAATAAAGCTAACAGCATACATAGATATCCTACACCAGTGTGATTACACCGTTGCAAAGGGACGACAAGGTGTAGTGGAAAAAGCAACACACTGAAGGAAAGGAACGCTATTTTGGAAAAAGTGTAGTTCAGTGTCACACTTTCATGGGAATGGAACAGGCCTAGTAAGAAGTAGTGTTTCATTCAACAGAACTGTAGTTCTATCCAAAATGTCTATTTTGTGATTCTGTGCCTCCTCAGATGTCAAATAAATGAACGAATTATTGGTATTTGATATTTTGTTTATGTGCATAAGGAAGTTTTCAAAATTCGAATATCAATCCTACTGTTAACTGAAGTAGTTAGTTTCTCCTGATAAAGTGTTGTGTTGGAGTGTTAAAATAAAAGGAAGGCTCGTTTTTACCCCACTTTGGGAAATTCTACTGCCTGAGTCTATTATTCCTGTTGAGCTTTCCAGCTTGTCTTCATAAAACGCTAGTGAGGTGAGTTGAATTCGAAATGTTTGGGTTATCTATCATTCCTCCCAGTATTATTTTGGTATTCCTCTCTTATTTTAGTGATTTTCAAAAATGTAACGTTATACTTTCCATGCCTAATGACTATTAATTCCGATTTCTCGATCAATTCATCACATATTTTCGAGATTTCTAGTAATGAATCTTCTAGTCTAGAATATTAGTCAGAAGATCCAATTCAAAACATGTTTTGCTGTCACACCATACTGAACTGATGGCAACATCGCTTCGTTATCCGCTATTATCTTCCTACGATATGCCTTCCATGAGCGACTAGCTCTCGATGAGTAGAATTTTGGGCGGAAAAGGGGGTCTTGCCCCAAATCATATCAAATCATATTTGTTTCAATGGTGCCATTCCATAGTATACCTTGAGCCTACTTAGGGTTTGAATTTGATGTATTTATTTTGATGTCACCCTGTATATATTTTCGAGACTCACCTCGCCTCTACCCTCGGCACCGCCGCCCGCTGGTCGTCCATCCTGCCCGATTGGAAGCGCACGATGAGCGAGAAAAAGTCCTCGTCAGGCACGGTGGCGCCGCTCCGAGCCCGCGCGCCACTCTCCCCCGCGCCCAACTGGGCCGCGGCCACCGGGGGCGGATCGGCCTCCGCGTCGACGCCTCCCGGCGGCGGCGGCAGCGGCGACCGCTGGTCGTCGAGCCGCGACTCTTGGCAGCGCACCAACCGGTCGAGGAAGTCGTCGTCCGGGACGCTGTCGTTGGCGGGGCGGCGGACGGAGGTCGCTTGAAGACCTTTAAAGGAAGAAGAAAATAGTAGATTGTTTTATTAGGATCAAAAGTGCAAATTTTGCTTTCGCTCGGCTTCGCTAAACGCTCCGCCTCGCAAATGCAAAATTCGCTTGTCAAACAAAGTCACTTTTGATCCGAATGAAACATGCTATTTTTTCTGCAACCAAAACAATCAACTCAAATGAATATGTGAAGTAACCACCAATGCCGTGCCATATGTATGCAATGCAACAAATATTGACAAATAATCCCTGTGGTGAGAATATTCTACCTGCATTAACAGCAGGTTCATTCAATTTTCAAGGATGTTCGAATTGTAGATTCAATATAAATACAACCACAGAGTGACATATTCGTGTATGGACCAGGTGCTCTAATGGCAAATACCGCGCCAGTGCCAGGTATAGGAACAAGAGACGTGGAAAATGTTAGGTTAGTGAGCATATCAATAATAATAATAGCGATTATTTATTCCTCTTCACACTATACACTGTGTTTGACTTGATAATCAAATGAAGGTAAACAATATCGTTGTTTGAGACAGAAAACTATTGCTTGCCACGTGATTATTCAAAAACAAGTTATCCATCCCGAGAATAACGAATGAAATACAGATCAAGCAAGTATTTGAATCTTGAAGGCTCTCCTGGTCAAAACAAAAATACTTAACTGATATGTTCATAATTCCAATACTTAACTATAATGAAGTGTATTTATATCTCCAGCATGGGTATGACATGCCAAATCTGCAGAAATCGGAAACAAATCAGGTATGCGTCCAACCTTAATAACCAACCCTAACAATGTTTTTTATTCACTCTAAACCTCTTAACTTTCGAGCTATAGGGTGTTCTATCTTCTTTTTATTATTGATTAAAGAAACTTCCACATTGTAAAAAACTGTCAGGTTATTGAATACTTGTCAAAATAAGACCGCAAGCAACGGTATCTCATAATTTCAAATACAAAATAGGGCACCAGCTTACTGGTTCAAAATATATTTATTTGACCATAAATGCATGAAAATGGTTTTCAATTTTTTGGACGGAAAAAATACAGGTCAAAAAATATCAAAAAATCTCCTTCATCAAAAAATGCCTACTGGTGCTTAGTAGGTGCATGTCAAATTTCACGAATATATCTAGGACAGTATCAATGAAAACGATTTTTTTAAACAAAAATTTCAACACCCTATAGCTCTAAAGTAGAGAGGTTTCGGGCATATTATGTTCATATGAACTTTTCTTCTCAAAATGAGCCAAGGAACCATATTTTAGCCATCATTTAAATTACACCCTGTATACTAGGTATGTCCACCCAACCGTGAGACATTTACCGCGTCATGATTGAGTTCACATGTTAACCTTAATCCTATATCACTAAACTTAAAAGAGGGCTATATTATGGAAAAGGTCCATTATCCTTATTCATAATTCTATTACTATTCTGAAATATCTCTAGCCTTTCATATGCAACAAATTCCCTGACATCATCAACTTGCTCAACTAATTTGAGGATATTGATATACAGGCTGATTCACGGTGGATGGCACATTAGACGTTTCTGGTGAACCAGACAACGGATCATTTTGAAAATTCAATGGAGGGCATATTCGGACATTCTCTAGCCAACTAAAATATTTTCGACAATGCGGTGTTGCCGCTTCTATTAGAAAACAGTAGCAACTTTGATTTTTCAAATGGAACACTCTGTATTTTATTGCATTTTTAGATTCTCCCTGAAGAGCTGATTTCATCGATGCATCACACTTGGGGTCTAGCGGAAATGATTACAGAGATATAGGGTGTGAAAAATCGACATTTTTCAACTTTAGGATTTTTTTGTGTCGAAACTATTCATCATTGGTCAAAACGGCTTACATGTCCCTATCTCAACTTTTGATTAACTATCTACTGATATTTAATCGGGACATATACCGGGAGATCAAGATTCTGAATTCTGCACCACCCTGTATTTGTTTCAATTAAATGTTAGTAGATAATTGATCAAAAGTTGAGATAGGGACATGTGAGCCGTTTTGACCAATAATGAATAGTTTCGACAATAAAAATTCCTAAAGTTGAAAAATGTCGATTTTTCACACCCTATATCTCTGTAATCATTTCCGCTAGACCCCAAGTGTGATATATCGATGAAATCTGCTCTTCAGGGAGAATCTAAAAATGCAATAAAATACAGAGTGTTCCATTTGAAAAATCAAAGTTGCTACTGCTTTCTAATAGAAGCGGCAACACCGCATTGTCGAAAATATTTTAGTTGGCTAGAGAAAGTCCGAATATGCCCTCCATTAAATTTTCAAAATGATCCGTTGTCTGGTTCACCAGAAACGTCTAATGTGCATTCCACCGTGAATCAGCCTGTATGTGTTATGATTGTGATTAAACATGTGTTCGAGCATATAGCCCTTTCTTTAGTTCAGTGATATTCTGGTTGGGTCACGGTCGATGATAACTTAGACGTTTACGGAGAATGGGACATGATCATTATGAAAATTTGGTTACTCAAGTAGTTGCTCTTGGTCTATCGATCTAAAATATGTTCAGCAATTCAGCATTGCGGCTTATACTAGAAAGTAGAACTTTTGATATCTCAAATGGAACACCCTGTATTTCAATTCTCAGATTCTCCCTGAAGAGCTGATTTCATCAATGCATCACACTTGGGGTCTAGCGGGAATGATTACAGAGATATAGGGTGTTTAAAATCGAGATTTTTCTACTTACGAATTTTTTGTGTCGAAACTATTCATTATTGGTCAAAACGGCTTTCATGTCCCTATCCCTAGTTGAAAAATCTGGATTTTGAACACGAACGAAGATTATAAATAACCCGAATTCACTGTGCCTATGCGACAAAATACCGATTTTGAGTTATTGTGCTTTTCGGATTATTGAAGAACAAAGGTATCATATGACCAACACAATATTTTTCTCAAACAGTATTTAAATGATACATAAGTTAGTTATACATTCTGATGAAACTAACACACCCTTGGTGCAAAAGTAACACATTTGAGATGTGTTGCTATTGCACTGATAATATCATTCTTATCCAATTATAACTCAACATATTATGCTGTAATGGTCATGGCTACTAGGTTTTAATTAAAATTGAATAGAAGTACTTTCATAGTACAATAGGTTCATATTTCAGTATCACAGAACCAAAATGATTGAAATCTATTGCTAGTGGTAAAAAAACGGGACCTTATACCCCTCGACTGAAGCCTCGGAATATAATCTTGATCTCTGGGTAATAATATTCTTCACTACCTTGGTGTATAAATAATTATCATTTGCTATTCACCTGGTAAATGTGGTAAGGAAACTCTTTGTTCGTCCATCCGTTTGCTCTGCATCCCCGCAATCATATCAATTAGATCGTCAGGTCCTTCATTGTTGTAGGGTATATTAACAACATTCCTATTTTCCTTATTATTATCGACTGTCAATGAACACCGTTGATCGTCCATCCTCTTGGATTGGAAGCGAGAGAGCAGATCAAAGAATGAATCTTCTTCTTCAGGTTTCTGGGAAGACTTTTGTTGAAAGAGGGATAGACCTGGTCGTTTGCCATCTGGTGTTAGCTATGGAAACAAAAATTCTTTTCAGTAACAGCAATAAATATAGAATACATCAACAAAATTTGTTCACATTTGTGAACATTTTGCGGCCAAAGTAATTCGCTTAGCAAGTCGATGTCTACACGCGGAATTGGCATACCGTGTATCTCGATATGGTGGAATATGCACGTTCAGAACGAGAATCAACAGATTTAAATTGAGCATAATCAATTTCAAATTGAGACCAAAGTTATTTTGGGAAAATTATCGAAGATGAAAATTTCTAGTTTCAATTGCAGATAATCTGGAAAGTCCGAAGCTCAACTGTCAATATTTGTATATTTGTTAACATAAACGGAAATATCTCAACCTTGTATTGTCTTTGTGTTCCTCGAGAAGATCTGAAATAAGAACAGAATACAGGTATGTACACTGTACAGGGTTATTCATTACAAATTACCCACCGTCATCATCGTTATTCTTTCCTTTCCTAAGATTTGGGAGCTTATAATTAAATGTTATCAAGATTCTATCAAAAGTACAGTTGGGTGCAGATTTCAGGGGGTTAAATTTTATTTATTGTTCTGCATATTATGTATTGAATTTTTGTAATGAGTAGTTAATCTAACTATTGTGAAAATAGAAAAGTTAACATTATCCAAAGTGAGGTATGAAAATGACAAATGGTATGTTTCAATGGATTCATAGCTTATACAGGGTGTCCCATAAGTCATGAATAAAAAGAAGTGGGGTGGTAGGGGGGGGGGGGGTCATTTCCAATCAAACTAACCGTATATGTGGTTATCCAATTTTTGATGGTTCAAGACTTATTAATGTTTTTTCATTTCTATGAAAATAATTAATTACAATAAAACTATGTCACATTTGTGATTTTTTCTTTTACAAATTTCATCCACATGGATGCACCTTTCCCAAAAAATAATTTTATGACATGCATTACTTCTTATCAGTTACCTGAGAAAAATGCGTTGTTTTCCTTGAGTTTTGTCACCAAATAATAGTTATTTATTATACAAGGGAAAAAAGTTGTAGATTTTAGCTCCAGGTTGTGTTGTCTCCCGACGCGTAGCGGAGGGAGACAAAAAACCGTGAGCTAAAATCTAATATTTTTCCCGTGTATAATACACTATTTTTTTCTGTGACAGAAGAAAGGACGAATCAATATTGAGAAAATGTTACATTATTTTGAAATCTGAAAATTATCGACGTGAAATTTTAAGTTTTTAACAGTAGAGACACCTGCGTTCTATAGGCATCTTTATCATTCTTTTGAAGTAATCAAATATTTGATGTCACTTCTGTCATTCTAATTCTGTGATTTGATTTCAAAAAATTGCGAATTTAGTGGTTGTTTAGTAATATACCTAACCGCGAAGTCGAATTGTTGATAAGGACTTTCAGTTCTTTCTCGGAGACGGTATTATTGACTCATTTTTCGGAACTATAGCCCAACAAAAGCCATCAACAGTGTATATATATGTGATATATATCCGGGAAAAAAGTACTCACTTTTTGCCCACGGGAAAAAAGTAATTTATGAAAAGTGACATTTTATAACCTGCCAACAGAGATGGAATGCCAAACTTTTTTCCCGTCACAGAAAAAAATATTTTAGTCGATTTTTAAATGCTGCTGGAAGATTTGAAAACTACCCCACACAGATAACCAATCATGAAAAAAAGAAAAAAAAGTTGCCCATTTAATACTGATTCCGAAATGGTATAACATATGGGGTCATTTAAACCAACCTTTTTTTATTAATCTTTTCAGAAAAATTAAATAACTTTCGAACCATCAACAATTTTATTAGAACATATACCGTTAATTTGATGGCAAATTACCCCCCCTACCACCCCACTACTTTTGATCCATTACTTATAGGACACCCTGTATATAGGGTGATTCAAAATTCGATGAAAATATTTCAACGACATATTGTTAGGATCAAAATAAGACTTTTTCTTCATATAAACATGAGTCCTAGAATACACCCCTCTGAGCTACATAGGTAGAAAAAAAGATTATACATAATTGTGACCAAAATAACAAACCAAATCATCTGAAAATTGGCATGCCCCTGTCTTTTCAGACACTTCATTTTCTTCTCGCTCCACAAATGATGTAAACCCAGTTTTGGGGGAGTTGGAGGGGGTCCACACTTTTATTGGCCCAAATTTTATGTTTAAAGACAGAAACTCTGACTTTGAATAAGATGATCTTGTGGTCCATAAAAAAAATTAAGAATTCGGTCTCTTGCATTCTTCTTCATACAAATAACCTTTTGCCAGAAAATCGTAATCAACGAAAGGAGAAGTCACGACATCGTTTTCGACCGCAATGGGTTAAACGCTTGCATACGGAGGTGGTCGTATGTCGCATGTCGGAACGCATTTGAGACTGCTATTTCAGAGTTGTGCAGTATTGGGAATACTTGCACTTGCTCCGTCATTATGATAATAATCCCAGATATTCTTTTTTTGCCAACTTACAGTGCGTGTAGCTCGGAGGGGAGGGGGGGCATTTTAGGACACATGTTTATAAGAGGAAAAAGTCTTATATCGAAGTTATGCAATTTGATGCAATGAATGCAAAAAGTGGCATCATGCAAAGTGTGTAAATGTTACTACACAAGAATTACATAATTCAAAAGAATAAAGATGGATGTGTGAACTATGCAGAGAAAGTGAGGTTAATAAGAATGAAAATTAATTAAAAACCTGTAAAAAAGACAATGCAATAGAAGATGTCATGAAAAAGCTTCAGCGGATGGAAAATAATTACCAGACTCTACTCACAATGCATGAGGACCAGGTAAAAGTGAATCAGAAGTTGCGAAACGAGGTTGGTAACGTAAAAAATCAAATGAATAAATTGATAGAAAAAAGGACTCAGGCAGACTCATCTGAAAAAGCTTAAAAGGAATGACAACAAAGAGAAGCAAAAAAAGTAATTTATTGATATATGGATGTATTGAGAATGAGGACGTAAGTGATAAAACACAAGTGAGGTACGTAGTTTTTGAAAGGTATCAGATTAGTATAGATGTAGTCTTCATTCGGTATTAGATTAGTATAGAGGTCAGATGATATTTTATCATTGCTCATGTAATATGGAAGTAGAGGCCATGGCACCATATCATGAGCATATTTTTATATTGAAACTATCATTGGGCACCAAAGATGTGTATACGACGCTATGAAAGTTCAGAGAACTGGAGATTTTTTCCACAAACTACGTACTTAGCCCACTCGACTGTCTTGGTTTTTCCACACAAACTACGTACCTAACCCACTCGACTGCCAATAGGGACTAAAAAAACAAAAACAAAAGAAAGTTCAAACAATGCCAACATATTTCTTCTTTGTGGGAAATCAAGACAGTCGAGTGTGCTTTTTTTACTTTCTTTTGTTTCTTGTTTTGTTTTCTATTGGCAAGTGATTATCTAGGAACTTGTAAATTTTTTAGTTTTTTCATCGTATCTCCCGAACTATTGAATTTAGAGAAAAATGTTATACGGATTTTTTGTAGATTCTATCAAAAGGAATAATGTTGGTTCTATAACATTTCCAGATATTTTCAGTTGTTTTCGAGATATTTGGAATCATCTGAGAATACAATTTTCAACACTTTTGTTCCATCTTCCAATCAACAAAAGGAAAAAATATTTCATGGTTCAGTGGAAGTCGATGATCTTCATCTATTGATAATCTTTTGTTTTTCAATATATCTTCATGGTACCCTATGGGTCGTTAAATTTTTTTTTTCATATTTTTTACTTTATTTCCTGTACTATTGGGTTTACAGAAAAAAATTTGGGTGATAATTTGTAGGAAGTGTTCCAGTGGATAACTTTGCACTTTTGATAATTTTATATTTTTCCATTTGTTTTCGATATATATTGAATTGAAAGGATTTCAAATTTTGATGTTTTGATTTTCATTTGTTTTTCCATTTTCCGATGGATGCACAAAAAAATGGTGATATAATAATTTGTTGCGTCATCAAAGAGGCATACGGTGCATTTTTCAAATTTGAATTTAGTCTATTGGTTCAGGAGATATGTCGTTTTAAAGCGAACCGTGTGTTTCGGAAAATCTCCTTGAAAAACCCACTTGGAATTTCCCGACCCTGCTCAATTTCAATTGGCTTCGTCTCTCCCTGATATAGTTTTTTTTTACAAAAAATGAAATCGATCGGACCACTTTTGCGATTTGTAGAGTGGTCACAAGAAACTTCCGGTGAAAAATCGAAAAAACCCGGAAAAACCACCTTAGAGTTTTCCGATTTCCTTCATATTTTAATGACATAATATTGTTTTTAGTACAATAAGATGACAAAATTTCAAGTCGATATGTCAAAGGGTTCCGGAGATATATCGATTTATGATTACCATAGAGTACAGACAGACAGACCACACACAAAAACCAAAGTTGCTCAAAATTTGATGGGGATCATTTTCTCCAAAGTAACTATACCTCTATCTCGCTTAGTTTCCGAGATAGAATTTTTGGCAAGGCCGTAGTATACTCCACTATGTATAGCGTCGTATAACAAGTGAGAGGCATCATCAACACGTTGACTGCCATCTCGGTCGATGTGACCAAGAAAATAGCTGCCCCTCAAGCCGACGCGGTTCCTATGACCGGAAAGATTTTTTGTCTTCCACGCCGGGTCGGTCAATATGACCGAGTCAGTTTTTTTGTTTTACATGCCAGACTCTCGGTATCGTATGGTTTCAACCGTAGAAAGTGACCGAGGCGGCCTGTAAGAAACGCTGCGCAGTGCCAGTTTCTGGTGTACAATTTCACAGTATAAAAAACATATAGCAAATAGCATAACTTCCGGTAGGTACGGAACCAGCTCGGTCAATATGACCGAGATACATTTTCAAGATTTTCTTCACAAAGGTGACGAATTTTTCGAAATTTCATTCATAGAACTTCATGATTTGTCGATATCTTCCTTTGCACAACATGGCCCAAAAAATTAAACTTTTGCCCCCA